TTATATTTTCCAATTCTGCTCTTCAACCTCACAACATAATTGCTCCATGAACCCTGTACGTCTCTCACGCGCACGGTGTCCGGAGGTGTGACATTGAACCCACGGAACCCATCGGTGTCGTTTGCCGGCGGCCGTGCGGCGGGACTTACGGCGGCGGAAATCACGTGACCGGCTCAGTGGCACCCTGAGCCACTGCGCCCAGTGCCCACCCCTGCGGTTCGCTGTCGCGCCAACACGCTACCTGTTGAGCCCGTTGATTCAGGCTCAGGTGAAAACCAGCGGTGATGACACCCGATAAATGCGCGATTTCCCGCGGTGTAGCTGGTTCGTGCGTAACACGACTGGACGTATGTTCTGTTTCCGTTCGCACGTCAATGGGAGAAACCACTAAAATGCGCACGGCGTAAGGCTCTTAGCGGTTGTCTAACATCACAAGAAGTCTAGAACAATATGATGAACTTGGTTTTAAAGTATGTGAAATAGACACGGAGAAAAGCGATCAGAAGTGTGATAGGAAGTGACTCATGCTATTTTAGGTCCCCTATTTCCACACAAGGTTAGACTCTGTTGCTTCGACAGAAGTCAGAACCACCAGAACTGGTGCATTTTGCACCGGAGCCAGAGCAACAGCCGTGAAAAAAATATGCAATCCCCATATCCCCCCAATCCCCCAATCCCCATAAAAATCCCCATATCTGCATTTATAAATTGTCCGACATGACCCAAAGGAAAAAGAATCAAACAATGCTTGCCTGGGCTGTAATACAAAGTTATATATTTACTGAAGTATCCGTTGCCCCGGTCAATTGACGGACATAGTGCTGCAATACAACATTGCACTAAAAGATAGCGTAGAAAGCATCGCGGCTTTTCCTACTTCTAAACCTCAACAATTACGCTAAAAACCAAACAATGAATTTATTACTAGCATATTGCCAACCTCCAACATCTTGTCAAGACATTAAAGTGACGAAGCGGCAGTCGGGGTCGCATTGAGTCCGAATGTCCTAATGATGCACTTCGGGAACACCTCACCAGAGTCTTAGAGGTGTTTTGGGGTGTTCAATTATCTCGGTTACGTCACATCACGATAGCCTCGAATAGCCCACAATACCACCGCCCTGCAGCTTCCTGTATCGACTCCGCGAGGAATTCCAACCACCGTGCCGGAGCGGTGGCACACCTGGGAAAGATGCCATCTTTTCCGCGAGCTGCATTGACACACTGTTGCTGCCGACCGCGGAGCTTTTACCCAGAGCTTGGCCGACCGTGCATGCGGTTATGCAAATAGGTGACGGCGCTACATCAAACAGAATGTCCTGGGAACGAGTGAGACGAGTGTGTGGGCTCCTGCAACGGTAGATGGGAACGGCTGATCGGTCTTAAAAAAAGACAATTTATTTCCGAATTTGTGGTATAAATTTATGATAAAATTCAGTACTGAAACATAATCGTTAATTTTTTGCATATTTATGACTGCAGAATTTTCTCCTAAAATTGTGGAATTAGCTCGAAACATTCAACTAAAGCATAGGGTCCGTTCCCGTGTTTGCTCCAACCTGCTCTAAGCTCCTCTAACCTCCTCTCGTTAAAAAAAAATGATTCCCGTCGCTCCTCCAACCTCCTCTAAGCTCATCCCGATGCCTCATCTCATCACCACTATTCTCCTCCTCCATCATGACAAACGTAAGCTGGATTTCTGAATGAGGCTCTTGTAGACATATAATGGCGCACTTAATACAAACGTGAATTGTTTATAAATGAGATTTGATTGGCTGGAAATGATTGTGGGGGATTGAGGAGGATAAGGTATTTTTTAATAGTGATATCCGATATTTCTCCATCAGTTTCTTATTTGAAAACAATGCATATCTCAAAACCAATATTGGTGTGTCATAAATGGTTCACAGTTATAGCACGCATGGGTACAGCTGATATCCTCGCAGAAATGTGCCCGTGGCTGCCCTGAAATGGCTCTCCTCGAAGCTTGTCCGACTTGCTCCGAGATTTTTTAGATTATCCACGGGAACAGACCCATAAAGTACGAAGTTCAATCCAAATGTTTGAATAATTGTTATGTAATAATGCAAATATCACCTTGAAAGTCCCCAAATTGTTTGTTTCAACACACATGAAAAAAGGTCTTACTCAGCTTCACCCGCGCCAGGGTGAAGTTCTTAGCCAACTTCGCCAAGGGGGAGGCTTTTGGCCACACTGGGTTATATCGGAAAGTAAGAAAGCTAGAAAAACGAGAGAGAAAAAAAGTAGATAGCTCGCTTTTCAGAACCATAACAGGTCATTTCTTGATCACGTCATCGCTGAGGTCATTGGAGGTCACCAAAAGAAAAATTATCGCGCATTTTGTTTCCCGTTTTTGATATTCTTCTTTTCACAAATCGGCGCATAACTCGGGACACAAATAGAGCACCGTAGAAAAGTGCATTCGATAGCTCTATTTCTGGTTAGTGTTCTCAGATTTGACCTAGGGTCAACGGTTCAGCCTCCAAAGGGAAACAAGTATCAAAATTTGGCGTTTTTGCGGAGCACGTTTTTTGCAATATCTTTTTTACTGTGTGTGTTTTTTTACTGTACATAACTGGTGTTCTGCAATGAAACACCAATTTTACATTACGTTGATTTAACCGGCATCGCGTTTCTCTGGTCGAGACGCGATATGACAAGGTCAACTTCAAAATTTAATTTCAGATCAAAGTCACGGAAAAGGTCATGTTGCATATCATTCGATTCGTATCGTTGGCCTAAACGGCAACGCATCTATCGTGTTTTCATCGCTCTAGCATGTTTCTATCTAAACCAATTGTCGAAAAAACTGTTGAATACGTTTAATGACCTGAGATGACCTCAGGGGATGACAGCAGTGGTCACGGTTGCAATTATCCCATTCAGTGTGTCATGTTTACCGCTATACCGCTGTTTGAGAGTGTTTTCGCTCAAAAGAACAACAGCTCATTTAACCCTATTGACTTATAATGGAGAGGTCGCAAAATTGAGCTGACCTTAGGTCACCAGTATCAAAATTCCGAGATATGCAAATTGTTAGTGCTGATTCCCTCATGCAATAACCGTCCGAATTTCAAACTTCTAGAATATGATCTGTAGGAATGACAGAATCACAGTTCTAAAGGCATGATCACTTAACTTGATCTGGTGACCTGACCTTATGTGGCCTGGGGTCAAAAATTTTACACTCGATGCGAAATAGATGCATCATAAGCTATACTAAATTTCGCCGTGGTGCGCGCCGAGGATTTCTTTACACATGCAAAAAACTGGCAGGCGTGTGGCCAAACCCCTACCCCACCCCAATTATTTGAAGGCTTTGTCCCCTTGTGTAGGCTCTGTTTTCTGCCAAATGGACGTAATATTTCGCGTTCCTCATGATTACATTACAGGGGAAGTTCAATCAATGACAGAAACATCGATTAGCACTGGAATCCAGGATAAACAGTTCGTCTTAAGTCAGGGTGTGTCTTCCCACACTCGACAAAAGTACCATCAGCCTAACGACGGATTACCTTGGAATTGTTGTGGTATATTCAGACATTAATCGTTACGCCAGGAAACGACAATTTTCCACCAATGTCGTTCGTAATGGGCTGCGAATGCCGTAATGCCCCACCCCCTCCAGACATGTGCAAATGTGCATTATGCACCTTTAGACGCTGCTTCTCAATTTGGCTATGCACGAGGCGCTTCCTTAGAGACATGTTTGACACCATCCTGCTAGAAGCGTGCTGAAATATAAGCAAAAACAATTATTAACAACATTATCGGCTTTCTGCAGAAACACTTCATGTTCAGTTTGCTTCTTGGAATCCTACGAAATAGTTTGCATATCGAAATAAATGGTTCCGCTGTATCTAGAAGATTAAGTTAATCGTACGTTTGGCTTCGTTTCTTGAACTTCAGGTAGTGAAAGGTCAATGTAATTTTTTTATAAATGCCAAGGTTATGTAGAGAATAACATTAAGGTTATGTAGAAGCTATACTTAAATCATAAAAGCTTCTGCAAATCATTTGTTACATCATGAAGTCAAATCATGTATGAGATAACTTCTCTGCTTACCAAGCAAACATCTGCGAGTTATCATCATTAATTACCTCTACACAAATTGCACAAGCATTAATTTGCTACAACGAACTTCTTAATTTTCCTGATTATTTCCTACAGCACGTGCTCGCGCTCCCTCTCCCCTGAGGGCCTCATTTTGCGGCTGCGGTCTGACGTCACGCACGAGGGGCACAGGAAGCCGGCCACTCATCCGAGTGCTCCGTTCTTGGTGCCCGTCGCCCCAGGCGTGCCCACCACCTGCCCCATGAGTCTGAGGTCCATGGAAGAGGGTGGGGAGTGCAGCGCGGGTGCAGACAGACGGGGAAAGAGGCAGGCGCAGCAGCTACAGTGGCGTTCGCCAGCCAGCGCTGCACAGCCGTCTGGCGGCTTTCATGCGAGACGTGGCCACCCGAGCTGGAAGGGAGAACGAGACATGGACGGGGAATGAGCGGAACAAGGCACGGACAGGGAGAAGTGAGCGGGGAGCGAGGAGGCTATGTCTGGGGTCTGGGAAGGCGGACTGGGAATGTAACCACTGCTGCACTGTTGAGAGCGGTGTGCGACGAACCGGCGCGGACGTGGTGGTTAGCCGGTCGTGGTTAGCGAACACCGCAGAGAGGGGATGTGATACAGGCAGTCCGGAGAATGGCGGCATGACACGCACGGATTAACTGTCACGATATGTTGAATCAGCTAAATCAATTTAGCTATTAGTGCTTTCCGTTTCCGTTCAAAATCGTTTGTGTGCTGTTGGTCGGCGCTCGGCCGCGCGTCTCCCATCCGACGAGGACACTCCTTGCACGGCGGTCGTGGTGCAGCACGCGTGCACGCCGGAGCCGGGCCGCCTCCGGTGCGAGGGGGCCGGCCGGTGGCAGAGGCCCCTCCCCCGCGCCCGCCGCCGAAATGGCAGCCCGCCCCCCGATCGGCCACTCTCATATGGGCGCGCGGCCGGCCGGCCCGGCCAGTACGCGCCTAGAGTGCGGCCAGTGCGCGCCCGGTGAACGGAGCGCCGCGTCCGCCGTCCGCGCCGTCCGCCGCCGAGTGAGTCACCATGGAGTGCGGCTGGCGGCTGCCCGAGCCGGCGCCTGAATCACGCCGCTCGGGGGTCGCCCACTTCTGGGAAGCGTGCTGCCAGAAGCCCGGCCAGCCGGCGGTGGGCGCCCACAGTCCGCGCGCGACGCCGCCCGGCGCCTGGTGCTGCCGCGACGCGGCGCCCCACTGCACAGCCGCGCCTGCCGCCGACTGCACGGCCGCCACCGCCGCCGCGCTCTGGAGCGACGGCCTGTCGGCCATATCGGACGCTCTGTGCGGAGACCTGCCGCCGACCGCCCTCAGCGGCCACTGGGACTCGGGTGTGTGGAGAGACGATACCACCGGCGACGCGACCGCGTGGCGCGAGCCGCCGCGAGCCTCGAGTGCCTCCTGCGAGGCGACCGACGCCGTCTGGAGCGACAGCGGCGTCTGCTGTTCACCGGAGCCGCTGCGGGTGCCGGGGCCGAGTCCGCCGGCCGCGCTCGGCTGGCATGGCCGCTGTATGGCCGAGCAGGGCCCCCCGCGCGTGCTGACCGCCTGCCTGGACTCGGCGGCCGCCGGCTATGGCAGCCCGACGCTGGTGCGCTCGCAGAGCGCGCAGCCGGCAGAGCTGGGCTCGCCGCTGCCGGACCGGTCGCCGCGCTCTGTGCGCAGTCTGCCCAACCTGTGCGGCGGCCCGGCCGGCCTGGGAAGCCCCGGCTCCGAGTGGGGCAGCCCCGCCCCCGTCGCGACCGACGCGGACGCCGCCGACGACGGCGATGAGGACGGCGACTCGCCGCGCGTCATGGTACCGCCAGGTGGGTCCGTTGTGCGACACGCACGTCTGAGCTCGACACACACTGACGCAATGATGCCAGCTGACATTATGACACCTGCTGACACACGTCGACACTTGTTGACACTCTCTGACATGTCTTCGACATACGCCGACACGCTGCGACACACTCTGACACTTGCTGAGTGCTGATACGCATGCTGACACGCACTGACACTTTTCGACGCACACTGACACACACCGACGCACCCCGACACACGTTGGCTCGAAACGACTCACTTTGACACTTTGACATACGTTTACCGTACCGATGACACCGGCTGACCGTCCTCGGGACCGATGACGAATATACTGTTCCTCAACAACAACCGCTGATCGGGATGAATCGTGCGCGCCCACACAGGATGACGAACACATACCCGGAGTCGTGTGGGTACAATCCAGACTCCAGGCGTTTGTTGAGGCTCCGCACGGGGTCGAAGCGGAGTTGGTTTGGACTGACGCACCACCACACTGGATGGCTGATTCTATAGCCTTGGCTGATTCGTACTGTATGATGAGTCGACTGAACACCTCACAGTGTGGCGTACTTACCCGCGCTCAGTTTCTGGGAAAGAGAAAGGGCTGACGATAGAAGACGTCATACAGTCTTAGGGTGTGATCGGTGTCGGTTGCTGTGCTGCTAGTCATTTGTTGATTGGATTGGGTCATAAGTGTCGATGATTGGATATGAAATCAGCTACTGGTAGGCCTACTGTGCTGATATGGGCCCAAGCAAAACTACGAAATGGTGTTACCCTTACGCCAATATAACGGGTGTCTACTATTTTTTTTTTTTGCCCAAACTTCAACATAATGATACTCACATATGTTTCATTTTTCCTTCACCAAACTATCCATGGTACTACATTAATCATTTTTCTGTCAGGCTGACATCAGTGCACGGCCCTGTTCACGCCAAGCCAGGCAGCACGGCGCACGCGCGCTGGGAGTGTCTCCATCATATTGTGCAGCACTTCCTTGTCGAGTGATCAAATCACGCGATGAGTGCGAAACCTCAGCTGCTTTCAGACCGTGCTGTCCAGTCACCCATGTGGACCCCCTGCTTAACGATGCCCCACAGGTCTTCGATAGGACGTAGTTGCGGTACGCAGGGCGGGTTTTCCTCGCGGCCTACATAAGGCACGTCGGCTTCTTTCAGCAGAGCTGTCATTCGTCGTGCGTAATGGGCGGCAGCGAGGTCGGGCCAGAAGATGTGTCCACTTTGAGGGTAGTGCTGCTGGATAAATGGTAGAAGCCCTTTTTGTAGACACTCCCGACGGTAGAAGTCGCCACCAGCGTTAGCGCGACTAGGACGGATGATTGGCTTGAACACCCCTTTTGCGGAGATAGTCATCCACACCAGAAGCTTTCTTGTGACTTTTTCTCGCTGAAATCTTACACCTCGAGATTTCTCAAAATGTGATAAGAGGTTCTTTTGGCAATTACGGCTATCCTCAGCCGATGTACAAGCTGGCGCTTGCTTATGAGAGGCGTGGTTCTGGGCAAATTTTGCCACAAAACCGCGAACCAGTGTTTTCGTCAACGTCTCCGTGTTCAGCGGCGGATCCAGGGGGGGGGGGCTGCGGGGGCTGGCAGCCCCCACCCAAGGAAAACTGGCGCCACTGCGCCGAAGGCGCAGTGGCGCCAATTTTCAATTCGCAACTCATCGGAGTGCCGCATACTAGGACTAGGATGCAAAAATCAGTCGAATAACGTCGTTTCAGTACGCTCCGCACCGATATTTCCAATCGTGTGGTGTCACTGTACATACTGATCCTGGGCGCCTCTTGTCAGGGCCACTGGGCGCCAATATTTCAGCGCCAATACGATGCGACTATGGCGCCCATCCGGGGCGTGGCGCCCAATTATGACCTGCAGCCCCTCCCCAGTGAAAATCCTGGATCCGCCACTGTCCGTGTTGAATGAACATTGCAAGTAAGTGTAATATGTATGTAGTTTCGTGTACGTAATTGATGATACTTCATCTATGCCAAATTTCAGAGATGTGCGACACATAGAGCCTGATTGAGTAGCATCCAAACTTTGTGCAAAAAAAAAAAAAATAGTGGACACCCGTTAGTTTCGTAGAACGGCCGCTTAGGTTCTTTCACTATGTATTGTAAATGTCAGTTTTTATGTCAATTTTAAATTCCGTTTAGACTTCAATTAAATGAAGTCTAATTTTTTAATTCCGTTTTAATTTTTATTCCGTTTAGACTTCAATTAAATGAGTTCATGGGTAGCAGGCTTGACTTTCCGCCAGCATTAAACGCATTATATTTTAATTGTAATAAGAATGCATTTGAATGAGCTTTACAGACGCAAACGTTCTTCCAATTTTCCCTATGATTAGATCGAGTTATCGAAGTCTGGTAGACGCGAAAAAAATTGGTCTGTTATTGAAAAATAGTGTTTTCATTGAAAGGACGAGCATAAAATATAAAAAAGGTCATTAGAAGCTGAATATTTCTTCCATTATCGCTTTATAACATGGAGCAAAAGCTTATCTTTCAGCTGCGTCATCTTATCAGCCATTGTTTTCCATAAAACGTAATTGCAGTTCAGACATACCTAGCTTTAGATGACATAACTACCGATTATCGAAATTGTATGGTTAATTGGTTAATGTAATATGGGGCTTTTTACAAGCATTCTATTACACCACATGAGATGTAAAAATTTATGATGCAGATGTAATTATAATCTCGTAATACGTTGCTGTCGGAACAATGGTAACCTCCTATCCCGATTTAAGTGCGTTTAATTCTACCTTTTTTCGCTTATTACGCACGCATCCTTATGGGCATTTCACTTGTTGCAGAGTGGTGAGTGATATGATAATTTGACAGGCATGAACCAGTAAAGTCAATTGCAGATAATTTGGAAATCTATACCTACCTACCAAACCAAATACCTACACAAGTACCAAACAAAACCATGGGAAAAAGCAAAAACTGAACCAACCAACAAAATAGAAATAAATGCCAACTTTTTAATAAGTTCAGAGCGTCTTACGCATAAGTGAAGATTCATAATAGCCCTTTTCACGACGGGCTATCCGGCGAATGCACCTAATTTGACCAAATCTGCACCTAATCTCTTTTACAGCAAATATCTTCATTCTATGAATCTATTTCAGTGTTTTAATCGATGATGCTCTCTGATAATATGACAAAGTAGTCATATAAGCAATAAGTGCAACCCTAGCTGATAGCTATAACTAAGAGACACACTGGACCTAATTTGACCAAATCATCTGCACCTACAGATGTGCACCAAATGTGTGCCAGATGGCCGTCGTGAAAACGGTTAATATCAACAAACAAAATGCAAAAAAAGCATTTGGCTGAAATGCCTAATACCAATTTCGTATCAATTTGATATCAATACCAATTCAGTGTCGGTTTGATAATTGCATACCAAAAAGTTGGTATCCGATTGACATCTCTAGCATGAACATGCTTAAAATTTTGTAATGAACCGTTATAAATCAATGCGTAGTTTAACACGAAGCTTGTCAATAGATGGTTCATGGTCACTGGATGTGTGATTGTGTAGTTGTAAAGCAAATATTAATAACCATCGGACATTGATATTTGGAACTTTGGAACCATAAAATATGATTTTGGTAGCTTAATTCCTCTGGATAGTATAACTATGATGATCTTGAACTATGACGTGAATTATAACTATGACGTTCAGGTAATTTTGATTTGATCATTCATGTTTTATATTATTTGTTTTACCTCAATGTAATGTACTCTAACATTGTTTTTAAGTAACAACACTTAACTTATCGTCATATTCTGTCTATGACCACATTGCTCGAAGTATGATATTTAGGTACCTACTGATAACCAATAACTATTTTGATCTTATTTCTTGACTTTGCTCGTCCTTTCAATGAAAACACTATTTTTCGGTATCTCTGTTTGTGCCTCTTTTCCTCTTTTTTCTGATTGCTGTCCTTTTCGTTTTCTCCCCTCCCTGATTTTTCTTCATATCGCTGTTGTTCCTTATGTTATTTTTTTCTTTATCCTCTCGGCTCTCCTCTTTCTTCTCTGAGAAAGAGAGAAAGAGACAGCAGGACAGTCAGACAGATATCAGATAGACAGACGGATTTAGATAGACGGATAGACGGATATAGATAGACGGACGTGCAGACAAAGAAAAGACAGACAACGATCAAGAATCCGGATTTTTTTTTGTCATGCAAAACATTGCAATATGCCTTCTCTTCTCACTGTTTTTCTTCTTAAAATAAAAGAAAAGGGTGATTTAAATGCACTTGCATGATAAAAAGAGACAACTTATCAGTTATCACACAGTCTTGCACCATTCTTCCATTAATAGCACGATTCACTTATTGCTCACGCATTAAATGTAACAAAAGCTTTAATTCTCTGTGTGCAGCTTGTGGGCTATAAAACGATGCGTTTCGAAAGCAGCTTCAAGCGCGCCTCTGGTTATAACACGTTCGTCGTTTTCACAGAATGGACAGAATAGCATGGGAGTGAATACCACGAAAAGCGGATAGAGTCAGATTACACTTGATCATGAGTGCATCACTTATCCAGTATCTGAACAATCTCAGAGCGGAATGAAGCTTTACAAGCATGAAGGAATTCACAGGTGTTGAACCTTCTCGCTTTTCTGACGATTCATCTCTGCGTTCTGATGGTGTTAAAGCTCAGTTGCATAATTGTGAGTGATGTAACTTCAGTTATGTTTTATAAGGGCTCGCTTTAACACCATCAGTTCGTTTGATCTGTCAGTTCGTTTAACACCAAGTTTCAGTTCGTTAGATCTGCTATAGTATTTGAACCATAAATGCTTACATAGGTATTGTGCGCATGCGAACTTGGAATTGTCGAGCATGGGTGATAATTATTATGTCAAGTGATATCAGCATCTGATGCATCGTGCAACACATCATGATGTGTGTGATCTGATATCAGTACGTATATCAGTATGTACTGA